GGCTGACAATGTTAACTATGATACTAGCAACTCGTTTGGGATTGTTCTCAACCAGCGGAGCTATGCTAAAGGTACATTTGACAACAATAGCAAACGACACTCTAATGACTACATTTTCCGAAGCTCCCTAAATGCAGACTAAGTCATGAAAATTAGTCAGGAAACTTTAAGGTATGTATGAGTTGTGCTCACCCTATTTTGTTCAAGGTCATGAAGGACTAGTAGTTGAATTTTCCCACAATGATAAGCGTCGAGCTGACACTTCCATTAAATTTCAAATAAGCTTGCTTTCCCATAAGGTGTTAACCACTAAGTCACATTGCCACGAGAACTCTTACGTCACAGGGCAGATGTGATTTCAAGGAACTTCACGCATTTTCCTATATCGCATAATGTGGTCTGAGTTTCGGTGAAGCAAACTAATAATTGCTATGGCAATCGACATTACTTTTTTCGTTTTTAAATGGGTTTTCGTAGCCAGGAAACTTTTAGGTATATACCCTGTCGGCTAAGTTTCAATTCATTTGACATTGCTTATTTCGCCCTAAATGAGCCATGATGAATGTAATAGGGCCTAATGTGAATTTATTTTTATATTATATCAAGCTGTGTCTCCAAAAGAGCAAGTTTGAAGTATATTTGTGTCTATGTTCTGGGGCAGATAACTTTGAACAGATCAGTCTTGGTTACTATGGTGAGTGAGTCACTTTGCTTATTTATTCAATCATGCTATTAAATTATTAATGAACGTAAATGGTTTAAACTTTTCCTTTAGCATAGATACAATTTGAAATCAACCTGTCCTAAACACAAAGTTGAATTAACCAAAGATACTACATGATTGTGGTTTAATTGGTAGTGTACTGACCTTAATAACTGCATGAATGTGGTTAAATCATGGTACAGAATCACTTTTTATTAAATGGTTAATTGGTTTCCTCCAATACTAATGTTTGATGAAGCGTATTGGGAGTTTTTTAGAAAACGGCCTTGTGTTTAAATGGTACCTGAGCAGATCAATTATCATCCCAATAGATGCATCATTTAAAGTCATTGCTAATAGTGATCCGTCAATTAATCGTGACATGACTTTTCATTTCGAAATAAAAGTTTATTAGTATGAATTCGTGATGTGGTCTCACTTTGTACGTGCTACTGAAGGCTTGACAAATAGCACCCGGAATACGAGTAGATTGGGGCTGGAACCGAGTGAAATGGGTCAACCAGAAAGATAAGAAACGGATCTATGCAACCAAGAGGCAGATCCGGACAGGAGACCCGAGTCAGATCAGCCACTCGAAAGGGAGGAGAGCAAGGCAGATAGCAGGTGTAATGACACTATGGAAATTCGCCAAAAAGGCACATCTCTTGTGGAATATAAAACATGTGAGAAGTTGGGAAAGGACGAGGGCGAGACTAGAGGATAGAAAATGGATAGAGAGACAAGGACAGAACGAGCAGTTATGGCACAACCGTTTAGACAGGAAGTTGGTCAGGTGATTGACTTCATTTGTCTCTTTGACGAGTTGTAGCTTAGTGCTGAGAAGCGCAGTATTCCGTGACGATGCCGACTATGTAGCCGGCGAAAAATCTAGGAATGTACCAATTCCACGGTCCGAATCTGGATATTATGGGTTCCTCCAGGTCTTCCTGCTAATATGACCAAGTTGCGAAAACAAGGTCAAACAAGTTCATTTCATGATTGGCGGATGGATCAATTTATACAATCACCTTAAATGATACATGTATTGGGATGATTATTGATCCGCTTAGGTGCCCTATAGACAAATTGGTACTATGTGTTAATATTCTTTTGATAAAATGCTTGTCATTTTCAGTCAATATACTACATAAATTTACTAACCTAAATACGTTTGCATGTATTAAATTAAGATACCTTAGATGATCTTTATGTAGCATTGCAAGTTGAACAGATAACAGTATCGAATGGCAATATTCATAGTTTATTTGGACACAATTGGCTTTTCGCTAGACTGGGAGGCATGGCAAATAAATTTTTAGCAAAAGCATAGTCATCTGGCAGGCTAAACACGTATCTACAACTTTTACATCATCTGAGTTAGGAGAGCGCTTGTTGAACTTCTCTAATCTACTTGCTTCCTCAACACAGCATGAATCGAGACGATATTGCGTGGATTTTCAATCTTCGTAAACTGAGCCTCAATTACACGGCATGCGGCAAACCAAATCTCCATGGCTGTCTCTCTATCTGTCTTAAACTATGCTTAGCCTGGATTAATTTAATGTGATCGTCTCTTTCCAATGACTTCTGGGTTGAGTATATTAGAGTAAACCAGCTAAAGCAGACAGAATGATGCCACACTACTCACATAATTAAGCCACTTCAGGTTCTCGTCTCCTTTCAGACCCCATGTCCAATTAGTATAATTAAAAAAACACAAGCAATGCCCGATGGGTTCATTTTAGCCCTCAAATCCAAGCAGACTCCTGAGCAATTTGCCCTTATCTAAATCGAGGAGTTTTGAATGGCCTTTTTCACAGTTTGAACTCAAAGTGCATTGTGTAAATTGTCAGGGGTAGGGATCTTTTAGATCTCCCCTTTGCTGAAAACCAAATTTGACTTTGCATGTTTATGCAGAATTATCATGCAGAGGTGACTCTGGCTGAAAATTCCAAAATTGATCAAATTTCTGAGGGCCAAGATAAATTAAGTATAAAGTTTGACGCTGACAATTATCATGGACACTATAGACTCCGGACAAGATGCCTTGCTCTAGGATTCCATTACAATACAACCGAATTGCGAAAACGAGTTTAAACCACCACTAAAATTAAGTTTCCACTTTTAGGTACTTTGGAAGAGAAGGAAGGTCACAATGTTTAAAGAAAAAAATAGTCAGTAGAATTGATGTGGCTTGTCACTTTTATGAGTTGTAACTCATTACTAAGGCTAAGCTTTATACATTGCAACGATATACGTGTAATTGTACCTAGTAACTTGCTATATGCTTGAAAGTAACATGAATATTATAGCACAAAACGCCGGACTAGATACGTTTAACATAGTCTCCTTGCTACCACGATCAAGTTATGAAGATATGAAGACCAACATATTGTGGCCTCTGGTATGGTTGCAGTCTCATTGCGATTTATACAAGTGGGTTGACCTCGTTGTCGCAACTTGGTCTTGTTGTCAGGGCGACTTAGGAGAATCTGCCTAGTCCGAATTCGTCTGCCATAGAGGTTTTCATGACTCCCAGTATCAGACAGTGGACTTGTTACATTCTCAAACGTTTCGCCGGCATCGTAATCGGCAGAATCAGTCAGTTTTCCCATTCTCCACAGCAAGATATGCACTTGTCAAAGAGACAAATAGAGTCAATCCCTCGACAAACGTACTGCCGAAAACGGTTAATCTATCACTCCTCTTTCTGTCCTGGCCTATCTATCTACTACTTATCCTCAAATCCCACTGCCGCCCTATCACAGTTTCTCACTTTTTACATTCCATTCGCCAAAATGTGTGCCCTTTTGTGGGAAATCTAGTGTGGCCTCATCACCCCTCGACCCTATCTCTTTCGATCTGCTGATCCGACTCGGGCCTCCAATCCGTTCCTTCACTTCCTGGTTGACCGATTTCACCCGGTTCCAGTCCCAGTGTGTGTTTCACTCCAGGCGCTATTTCTCAAGGACCTAGAAGCACATACACTGCCGTTTCACTCAGTAGAGCATGTATGCTGTGATTCCCATGCTTGCAGATATCAGACCTTCCCTTAATGGGTCGTCTCCTTCATTAAACTCATGTTATCTGAGCAAACTGTGGACGCCTATCTTTATTCGCATGAATTTCTAGTGCATTTTGGCCATAATGCCGGATTTATGTGACGGTTTGCTTATCCGTCTGCCCAGCTCCCTGACTGCCAGGCCCTAAAAAGTTGTACTGGTTTATTCGAAATGGACATCACTCACTGACGTTTTCGATTTATTGCCGAAAACGCCTGATCTTCTTTCTTCATCACAATCCCTTTCCCCGGTTAACGGTAGATCCTTGATTCAGGCGTCTCCTTTATGCTGGCCTTGCTCCATTCTTGTTTTCCCCAAATTTGCTTAGGCAGTAGGCAAAGTTATCGCTAACTCTACCTTCTTCCAATCTCCTGTTCATTAGATTTGTCTCCCCAAGCATGTCAATAGGCTCCCTAATCTTCCACTTCCATGAGTTTTCACCGAATGAGGCCCTACTTTATGTTGCTTTCCAATTGATCTCGTGTCCTGGCAGTCTGGGAGCTAGGCGGACGGATAAGCAAACCGTCACGGAAATTCGGCATCATGGCCAAAATATACCAACAATGCACTTGAGATGCAGCATGCGACCAGAAATAGGCGCCCACAGTTTGCTCAGATAACATTGGTTTAATCAAGCTTAGGCGCTCTGCTCAGTGAGGCAACCGTGTACGTGCTTCTAGGGCCTTGAGTAATAGCGCCTAGAGTGAAAAGCACACTGGGACGGGAACCGAGTGAAATCGGTCAACCATAAAGATAAGGAATGGATCTACGAGACAATGAGGGGATCCGGATCAGAGGTCAAAGACGTATCAGCCGATAGAAAGAGAATGGGTGGAGGTGAAAAGTAGGTGTGATGAGCCCGCATTAGATTTGCCACAAAAGGGCAGACATTTTGAAGAGTGGAATGTAAACAATTGAGAAGTTGTGATAGGGCGGCAATGGGATAAGAGGGTAAAGAGTAGATGGATAAGCCAGGACAGAAAAAGGAGTCATAGTTTGACCGTTTTCGGCAGAACGTTCGTCGAGGGATTGACTCCACTTGCTTCTTTGCCGAGTTAGTAGCTTGGGGCGGAGAATAGCAAAACTCACTGACTATGCCGACTACGATGCCGGCGAAACGTTTGAGAATGTACCAAGTCCACTCTCTGATGCTGGGAATCATGACAACTACTATGGCAAATAACTTCGGACTAGGCCCATTCTACTAAGTCGCCTTGACAACAAGACCAAGTTGCAACAACGAGGTAAAACCACTTCTACATGTTATGAGAAGTCTAAAGTTATATGAGACCTGATTTATGGTAGTCTTTTAACCCTGCGCACAAACGATATATAGTTTGAAGTTGTTGCTCACACTACCTTGTTTCGTAGCTAATCTAACTGTCTTATTGTATACGTCTGTAGTTACAGCGGACAATTTCTTTTTTCTTTCTGCTTCAGTAAGTCGCTTCCTATTACACATCAATACTGATTTTATGATTGTCTTGGTAAAAACGTCTTTGCTCCTGCTCACCTCCATCGAAAATTACCCAAAACTGCTGGAGCAGTTGGATCTCTACTACAATGAAAAGGATTAAACATAGCAGTGTACATCCCAGAAAGAACTTTAAGAAAGACAAACAAACATGCTAGACGCATAAAATTTTTTTATAATTCCATTTGATGATTTGTTTTGTCTAATTGTCCTATAAAACTTGCTACTTTATTTGCGATCACTCTCGATGTTTATGCCTATTCTTGAAATTACTAAATTACTTAATTTGCGAAGATTGATGCCTTCTTACAGCTGCTTTGGAGGCAGGTTAGGTAATCTTACGGAAGAAATATAAAGAATAAACTTTTCATCGATTCTTACAGTTTGTTTCCATAATAAGTATTTTTCAAGACTATCCGTTTTGTGTTCTCTTCCAATGGCGTTTTCATCGTGCTTGTTGAATTGTAGCAGTATGAGCATGGCTTGCATCATAATATAAGAAGGAGTAAAGTTGGATGCATAGTTGCCTAATCATGGGGTTATTATTTTATCCGCTTAGTTTATTCTTCTAAATCTGAGGCAAACAAGCGAATTATTTTTTTCTGATTTGCTTATTAAATTTAGTTTAAAAAGGAACTAATTTTAAATTAATTTTCCTTTAAAAATAGCAATTTTGAAGATAATCATAAAATAAAAAACAATAAATTAATGAATACTGGTGATATTATTATAATTTGCCTCTACTATTGCAGAACCAAGCAATATCAGGTAGAAAATATACAATGCAAACATAACAATTTCATAATTTTACTAATTTTTAGGCACAATAGTAAAATTATATTTTCTTATCTCAAACATAATTATAAACAACTTGGTTAAAGTTCTGTTGTCCATGGACAACTAAGCTAAGGAAATTGTTACCTACTAACAAAAGGGACGTATTTACTCCATCCATGCTTAGATTAAGCAAGCATCTACTAAATGAATACGAAGTACAGATAGACTTTGTGGTTTCAATGCTCGAGAAGTTAACTTATTAAAATAAAAAGTTTTATATAGTTATTTTTAGTCACTCTGCAAATTGCGAATGTATTTAGTATATAAGTTTCGCCAAATAATGACTATTTAAACTTGACATTATAGGTGATAAATTGTGCACGATAATGCCTGCGCACCAGGTTGTCAGTTAAAGAGATAGCTGTTAAATAAGTAGTTTAAAAGAGAAGAAGCATATTTTATGCCCTTACTTTGCAGCTATAGGTTCAATTTTAAAAAAAAGCCTTGCTCAAAATCGGCTCTATAAAAATTATTGCAACCTAAATCAAGATGTCAGACTGTGTTTGTTGCGTACTTGGAATGAGTTTGCTTAAATCCCTCAACAAAGAAGACAAAGACCAAAAATGTTGTGATTATCCTGAAGATAAATGCACTAAACGCAAAGATAAATGCGAGGAAGAAAAATGTACTAAACGCAAAGATAAATACGACGAAGAAAAATGCAAGAATCATAAAAATAGAGAAAATAACAAAGAAAAACGCGGACGATTTCGTAAAACTAAAAAAGAAACCAACAAAAGGCAAACATCGAAAGTCAAAATACGTACAAGGTAAGTTATGCATAAAGTATAAATCCTTAATTAATAATTTTTATTGGACAAATATTTTGTTAACTCACTAATACATATTTGGTTCGTATCCGTTTCTTATGCTACTCAAGCGGCTTCAAGAAAAACTAACTTATTGTAAATGAATTGATGGATTTTCTTAATATTATAATAATGGGTTTAAGAATTTTCTATATTAAGTACTAATTAGAGGTCCCGGGTATACCTGTTAGCATAGCCCTATATTGTCCTATAGAAAACCTGTGAAATTTCAAATTTGATGTAGGAATAGTATTACAATTTTTATAATGTGATAAGTGGCAAATATGAAGTATTTTAATGAAGGCCGCGACTCGTTTCCTTTTGGGAAATTACACTCTTAGTTATGAAATATCTCTAGCGACCTAAAGTGACTCGAGTTCATATCACGTCACATATATTAATTCCCAAATCGCATTTAACAATAGGTTTTTACATTTTTACGCGGAATTTTGTTATTGTCCCTTTATAAATCATTATCTAGTAGGTTAAATGGCACTTATTCCGAAACTAAATAGAAGTTGTTACTCGATTAAATGTGTTTTAGCATGAATTTATTTTATGCTGGCTGATTTAACCAAATATATATGCTCGTGTATGACTGTATTTAGGTCAATTCAGCTAACCTTGTGATTATCTACTCATGCTAGTACATTGCTACCAAATTTTTTGTATAGAAAAAGTACCAAATGAATCTGAGCTTATGTTTAAACAGAGAGATAGAATAATTTAATGAACGTGTTTACAAGCTTGGTGTAAGAAAACTGCCTGTGACTAAGAGTGTTTGATAGATTTATAAAATCTAAGAATCCTTATCAATCCTTTTGAAGATAGAAATACATGTAGAGATATGTCGATGTTCTTTAATTATTTATACATGTTGACTTTTTACTAGTATTTACAACTTATTATTTTTCGTTTATAATTCGGCTGTCAACACCACCAGTATATCACATAAATGAGACGTATTACCCTTATTTTTTTGAGGTAATTAAGGACTAGTAGTTAAATTTTCCCACAATGGTATAAGCAATCCTTGTGTTTCCATTTAATTTTACATAATCTTCTTTTCCAAAAGGTATACTCATTATTGAGAACACATTTTGGGAAGCAGGGCTATGTGAAATTCAATATTAAGAAAAGGTCTACTCAACTTATTGAGGAAAGATTCAATTACCAGTCCTTTACTACATTAATTAAATAGAGGTAATATATATATATCATATCATATATATATCACTATGAGTGTTAAAATCCTACTTATAAATGAATAAAATAATTTGTCAA